CTGCCTGCGACGCGCTGATGAGATCCAAAAAGATCGAAATCGCGATCCGCGTCTGGCAGTTTCGACAGAATACAGATCACTTCGAATTATTTTATTTGATTAAGCTAACGTGCCTACCACGTTGAGGTGAGCTACGCCGGGATTCGTTTCAGCAAGTAGTTATCCATATATTTAAATGGACCTTGTTGGAGCATACGGAATCCTAAAACGTAGCATCGTGCTACAGATGGCGTTTACTGCGCCATTTGTGGTATTTTCTGTTCGTTAGTTTATTCAAATTTATTTAACAACATGAAAATTAATCTACAAAACTAATAAGTGTCATTATGACAGTTTCGTCTTTTTGTGAGCAGTGCTAGGATTCACTTCCCAAATTTCTGTAAACATTCATGTCAACATTAATTATGGGTATTGTTGGTCATTTTGGGCCACCCTCCCTCATAATCCTTTCGATACAATAATTACCATTCTAATGGCTGCGCTTTTCAGATAATCTAAAGTTTCTCGACATTATGATGTTCCAACGATTCTTGAGTCTGCCTGACATAAAAACATTAAGCAAGATTAGATCAAAATATTATACCATCGTTCTGATATTAACAAAATTTAACATCTTCATCATTCAGTATAATGCCCAACATCCATAGCTTCTCCCCGAATGTGCCAAATATGGGGTGTTAAAATCCCGCTCCAAGCAAACGTTTTATCAGAAAATTTTGCTTTTGGTTTGAATTTTTTTTTCGTTTAGGCAGAGGTGTAAAATCCATGGTAATGTTTCCTGGTACAATGTAATATGTTACTTTCTCAAAATCCATGACAATCACAGGATTCCTCACAAAATGCCTTCGTTTCAGAGCCCTTCAATATCTTGGTAGTCTTTCGAGGTAAGTTAGGTTGTACTTTCGATGGCGTATACTATAGGGTTGTTCGGAAAGTCATTTCGTTTTTTTTGTGGAAATGAAAGACAGTTTTCGTATAATAAACAAATACTTTATTAAATTATATATTGACCGTTCTGGTCCAACACCTTTTGCCATCTTTCTGGTAGTAGCATAATTCCACGCTCATAAAATTTTTGGTCTTTGCTGGCAAAAAACTGATCGAGGAGGTTTTTGACCTCCTCATTTGAGGTGAAGGTTTTACCGTCTAAAAAATTTTGGAGTAACCGGAACAAATAATAATCCGATGGTGCCAGGTCTGGAGAATATGGTGGGTGTAGCATTGTATCCCATTCAAGCTGTAATGCACTTCAAAAACGGATCATTTTCGTGACGTTTGAGAAGCGAATCGCAGACGTCAATGCGGCGACACAGATTTCTCTCTGTGAGAACATGGGGAACCCATACATCGAGCTTCGAGGATAATCCCAGGCCTTTCAAGTGGTCATAAACTGTTGAATTTGATAAATTTAACCTCAATCCGATCTCACGTGTTGTTATTCGCCGGTTCACATCAACTAATGCCTTTATCGCGTCTTTATCAGCTTCAACCGGCCTTCCCGAACGTGGTGCATCTTCGACATCAAAATTGCCGGATCGAAATTTAGCCAACCAGTTCTGGCACTGGCGTACTGTCAACACACCTTCTCCATACACATCAGTCAATTTCTTTCTGGCTTGAACAGCATTTTTATCCTTTCTGTAGTAAAACAATAAGATATGTCGAAAATGCTGCTTATCGCTCTCCATATTTAAAAGGGCACCAACCAAAAACTACTGCGTAGAATTAATTGGAATTTTTTACACACAAGCCTTGCTATATGAGCTCTCAAAGCATATAAAAATTATACGGCTTTAATGTGAAGTTGGGTGCAAAAGAATACAATTAAATCCTCTGTCGGGAAAAAACGAAATGACTTTCCGAACAACCCTATATTTCTAAACAAAATTCTCTGGATGGTTTTGTACAAGACCCAAAATCGACAGCCAATCTTTCAACTACAGATCTCATCCCTGTCTTTTACGGATTGTAACAGACTACGAATTATGTTTTTGTAGCAAAACATGAGATTTTCTAGTATAGTTTACTCTTTCTATTTCCTTATTGTCCTATAAATCTTTTCTGTCTTTTGATCTCCGAGCAAAAGTTAACAATTTTTCTTTTGGTCAATCATCCGAGTAACTACAGTTAATGAACGCTCACTCACGTTTTCCTACCCCTTCTGCCCTTTTTGTAGCATAAAAATGAACCAATTTGAATAACCACGGGCAAATCCTTGAGTTGAAAATAAAGATGTGTACAACGTAAACGACAGAAACACGTGTTATGATTAATTGGGATAAATAAGTATTTTTGTTGATATTCCTTCAACTTTTTTTAATTAACCAGAGTGCATGGTATGCGCAAACTAATTTATAGAAACCTTTTAATTGACCATTAGCAATTACGGTAGAATTTGCTTTTAATTATCCTTTAACTTGTAAAGACTACTTGAGGTAGCGTAAACCTGGTGATTAAAAGTTCTCCGTTTTCACCCACAGCTGGAAACTTTTCGTAAACGAAGAGAAGCTATTCGCAAATTGCTGCTGATATTACGACCTATTAATATTACCCATTACACAATCGAGTGCGTAACGATGTTACG